AACCCCACAATTTGGGTCCTCATTTTACCCACCTCGGAAGGATGGAAGGCTGAGTCAACCCTGAGCCGGTGAGATTTGAACCGCTGACCTGCTGATCTAGCAGTAGCCTGCAGTGCTGCTTTTAACCACTGCGCTCTTGGCTCATAGACAAATGGCTATCCAACATCTTCACAAAAGAGAACTCATGTGGGAAGCTACCTGCTGAGGTATGAAGAGAGGTTGTGTTGATGGACAACATTTTGGCCTTCAATCTACTCTGGCCTTATATCTTAGTTCTGTGATGGCGAATCTATGGCACGCAGTGCCCCTTTTCTGTGGGCATGTGCGCCGTCGCCAGCTGCTCTTCTGGTTTCCAGTGCCAGCTGGTCTTGGTGGGCACCGGAGTGCCGGGAAATGGTCTGAGAACAGCTCGCAAAATGGCCAAAAATGACTAAAAAACAGGCCGTTTTTCGGGTCTGTTTTTGGCCTGAAAACTGGCTCAAAAACCGGCCTGAAAATGGCCCCCAAATCAGTCAGAAATGGTCAAAAAAACAGGCATCTGCATGCCAGCCAGCTGTTCTTTGCGTTTCCACACCCATTCTTGTGTGGGCACTTGGTGCCGAAAAGATTCGCCATCACTGCTTTAAAGTTTCTGCTTTAGGCAATAAGCAGCCATTTGTCTCCAAAATCAGGCAGATAATAAAAAAAAATATGTTGCTCTGTGTTTATACATAGTCCTCAATTTACCACAACTGAGCCCAAAATTTCCGATGTTAAGCGAGACAGATGTTAAGTACGTTTTGCCCCATTTACGAACTTTCTTGCCACCGTTGTTAAGTGAGGCACTGCAGTTAAGTTAGCGACATGGTTGTTAAGGGAATCTTGGCCTCCCCTTTGACTTGGCTTGTCAGACGGTCGCAAAAGGGGACCCCGGGATACGACAACCGTCATAGAGGTGAGTCAGCTGTCAAGCGACTGAATGTAAATCACATGACACTGGCGATGAGGCAACGGTCGTAAGTGTGAAAAATGGCCCCAAGTCATTTTTTTCAGCGCCGTTGTAACTTTGGATGGTCACTAAATGAAGCAAGTCGAGAAGTACCTGTGCTCTATAAATGAGAAGGGATCAACACCAATGGTTATCATGCCCTGCTCAGTTAAAGTCATTTTTATTTTATTTTTAATGTGGTTTTTAATCTCCGAAAGAGTCCCTTCTCTTAAGTTAAGGCTGTCCCCATCTCCCTTTCCAATGGGGAAACTGAGGCAACAAACTTAAAGTAAGGCTGTTGTCATGAGAGAAATGAAATTTTTTCAATGTCTCTGGGTAAAGTTTACACTTAAAACAATGTAAAAGCATTGCTATACAGGTAGTCCTCAACCTACGACCATAATGGGGTTCAAAAATATTGCTAAGCGAGACAGCCCCATTTTACGATGACTTCTTGCCACTTTTGTTAACCGAATCGCTGCAGTTGTTAAGTGAGTCACACGGTTGTTAAGTGAATCTGGCTTCCTTATTCACTTTGCTTCTCAGAAGGTCGCAAAAAGGGACCCCATAACCCCAGGGACATAAACACACGCCAGCCGCCATGCTTTCCAAATTTTGATCACATGATCATGTGAATGCTGTGCTGGTCACGTTAAAAGGGTCATAAGTCACACTTTTCAGTGCCGTTTTAACTTTGAACGGTCGCTAAATGAATTGTTGTAAGTCGGGGACTGTACTGTATGTATGTACTTATGTATATGTGTGTGTGTGTATATACACATAGATAGATGATAGATAGATAGATAGATAGATAGATAGATAGATAGATAGATAGATAGATAGATAGATATTGTATAGAAATACAAGAGACTGTGTGTGTGTGTTTGTATGTGTATTGTATAGAAATACAAGACACTATACATACAGTATGTATATATATATGTATATATGTGTGTGTGTATGTGTGTGTGTATGTGTGTGTGTATACACACACACATATATATATGTTATGTTTGTGCTGATAAATAAATAAAGGGAGACTAGTATAGATCTATTTCAAGCTATTTAGCTCTCATCAGCTAGCTTGAAATAGATCTATACTAGTCTCCCTTTATTTATTTATCAGCACAAACATAACAAATGTAACAAAAAGGCAACAGTAAAAAATATTGGGTTTCTGTCTGGATGGTCTCTTGTGACGAGCCGAAGGACAGAGAATGGAAGTGTGATCTTCCTCCCATATTTGGGCATACCAGGGGTTGTGACTTTAAATAAATAAATAAATATATAAATATATAAATATATAAATATATAAATATATAAATATATAA